GCGAGCCCTGCCCACTCTGCCACCTGCAGGGCCGGCCACCCTTGCCACAGCTGAGTGCTCTGGCTGGCGCTAGCTCTGCGCAGGGGGATGCCCAGGCAGCAGGCCTGCCCAGCCCCTGTGCAGGGCACGAGGGGGGAACCTTCTGGCCTTTGCTCCCAGGCAGGCACAATCCAGCCCTGACAAGCATCAGCATCCAGGCTTCTTTACTGCCCTCATCCACAAACGGGGGTCGAGGGTCAGTGACTTGCATGCACAGCCAGGACCTGACCCCAACTCCCCTGCGCTTCTAACCCCTAGACAACACCCTCTCAACGGGGGCCCTCCAACTGCCTGCAGGGGGCTGCCAGGAGGCAGAGCAGAGAGAAATGGAAAACGAAGCCTGTACAGTATTTGTCCTGAAATCACCTGGAATGAGCTATTCTCAGGGTCCATTACACTGAGGCCGCCTAATGCGAAAAACAAGAGGAAGCAGTGGGGAGAAGAGGGAGGAACATAAAGGGATGGGAACCCGAGCAGGAGAGAAGCGACCCGCGGTAACGGGGCAGGGAAGGGCAGGCGGAGGGGAGAGAAGCCGGGTTCAAGAACGAGACAAGAAATAATGGAACAGAAGAGAGTGAGTCGCTGAAAGCGAGCCAAGACAAGCGGAACTGAAAGATGCAAGCCTGGAGCACGGTGAGACGACGAATCGGGGCCAGAGGCTCTACAATGAAGGGGTTCAGACGATCTGTGGCCGGGAGAAGAGCGCTGTTTGCAGCAGGGCTCTGCTAGGTTTTCAATCTGAGGCTACATCTAGACTGCGACAGTAAGTCGGAAGAAGATAAACTACACGCAGCAATTTGCATCTTTTCCCGCTTTGCTGTCGAAAGAGGCTTTTCTGAAATGTGGTGTCTACACCGTGCCAAATTTCAGAACAACCGGCTCTTTCGACTCAGCCCTTCTGCCTCGTAGAACGAGGTTTCCAGGGATGGCAAAAGAGTGCGTCCGTGTTTCCGAACATTTCTGCGTTCCTTGGGCGCAGCAGTGCTTTCCCAGTATACCTCCGGTATTGCAGAGACGCGCTGCTCTAGACGTAGCCTTAGAAACATCAGCGATGGCAGATCTGTCCCCTCTGG